AATATCTCTACTAGAACATCAAATAACAATCACAAATTCTCAAAAACCAGAGTGCTTGAAGGATCATTTTGCTTTCACATTGGTGAACAGCAAGTAACTGTTCAGAAAGGGCATCCCTGGATTTGACAGCAGGGCTTCCAATTTTTTTTTTTCCTTGGGGACTAGTGGAAATTGTAACGTTTGATCATAATACTGACCTTTAGCTTAATTTGCCCTAATTTTGCAGAACCTTCCTGCTTCACACCAACCACCCCCTCTGATTCTACAAATTTGGTATGTGTTAGCATTTAACAGAATGAGAAATAGCCTGAAGGATTCTCCACCAAATGGAACTGATTATACAGTGAAAATAAACTTAGGCTAGGATCTGAGACACCATGTAAAGTATTTTACTATGTTTTGCAAGGCTTTTTTGCATTTAGGAAGCAAGTAAGTTTGTTTTTAAACAAAAGTGGCCTCTTGAAGAAAAAAAAAAGCAAAGCCTTGTTCACTGTCTTTGAAGTATAAGTGAGCACACACACACACAATTCAGAAGTTAAATGATGACTCAAAATCCAAAGGGGAGAATTACAACCTGAGTTGCACACCCACCACACCATGTGTCTGCTGCGCTTCAAGCAGTTCAACTGTGTCAATAGGCGGTGATAGTCTCGCAGACAGTGAACCTTTTGGACAGAACAGGCAGTTCTTAAATACCTGTCACCGATGTTATAGAGCAGAGCAAGATGGAACTGAGATTCCCATGTCAAGCCTTTAATATCAGTACAACAAAAATGACTTCATCTGTGCAATTAGTGAACAAACTGTTCCCGCTCATCTAATAGCTCCAGGAGGAGAAACTTATTTTGACTTTGATTTGTCCTGTTTTTCCTGCAGACCGAATGTTGCAACCTTATGTCGACTAACATCTTTTGGCCTAATAATTATAGCCAACGTTGAAAAACTCTGCCCTCAAATTATTAGTGCAAATAAAAGGAGGGAGAAATAAATTAAACCCAACCCTTCCATCCCCATGTCCCATCCCCTTCTGCACCTTAGAAGTTCTGTGGTCAAAGTGTTTCAGTACTTCATCATCCATAAAATCAAACTAAATTTCTGTTTAGTAAATTAACTTTACAGGGCTTTGTTTTACTTCTACTGTCATTGCTTTATTGGCCTGTTTGGGGAGAGTGCATTCCCTAATGTTTAAAACAAGTGAATTGTTTTACTAAGGCAAGGAAACTTTAAGAGCTTCCTTTCTTTACCATTCAGTTTTAGTGATCTAAAAGAAAGATGGTAAAGCTCTCTTTTAGAAATGCATGTCACGGGCCGGTGCTTTTAGAAATGCATGTCACGGGCCGGTGCATTGACACTTCGGCACGTGAGCCACATGGAGGGTATTTTCAAATATTGACATGCCCCAGAAAAATCAGAAAGTGGGTATTTTTGGTCTTAACTTTGACTCTAAAGTGAGCTCTTGATTCCATCAAAATTTGAAAGGAAATATCTAACACCCTTTTCAAATTTACCTTTCTCCTGTGCTTATCTAGGAATCTGGGGGAAATGTCAGTAAAGTTGCTCAGATGATGCCAATTTCTTGTAGGGCCTAACAATCCAGATTCATTCTCCTAAAGTAAAAAAGGGCAGAAAATTAGCAAAAGCTCCCTTAAAAGCAGCATGATAGTTGACATAGTTATGGATTCTATTTTAATTTGGGGGAGACCATGTTACCTAAACAAATTTTTTCACTTCAAAAAGCGTTTCCGAGCCCTCCCTAGTTGCGCAGTGGGTTAAAGTGCAGCACTAAGAAGCTTAAGCCACTTCCACATGAGTTCAATCCCTGCCTGCCCAGGAGCTGACCCACGTGGTGCGGCAGACCTCTCCTGACCCGCCTGCTGCTCCCTCCTTCATCAGTCAGCCTGTCTCTGGCTGACTCTCCACTGTCTCTGGTGAATCCTCTCGCCAACCCCGCACTTCTGTAATGCATAAATAAATAAATTTAAAAAAAAAAAAGTGTTTCCATCTATTTCTACATTTTTTAAAATAGAAGAGTATTTTCCCCCCTTACAGCTGGAGTGACAGATGTAGTTCCACTTTTGTCATGTCATTCTATTTTCAAAAGAGCAAATGTGCTATTAGAGATGCAAGAATACTGACCATAGGGGTGATGGAGGAAGCCCAAAAGCCCATGATGTGTTAATACACCTATTAACAAATTTGAGCTGAAGTTAATATATCCTTCTAAAAGAGAATTTGATTACATGATTTCACTTGTGATTTTTTTTTTTTAGCACTCTGCCTTGTAGCCTGCAAGTGACAGAGCCCATGTGCCAATATTAGCCATTTTTTAGCACTTTCTAGTCTTCAACTAACGAATTACAGAGCTGAACCAGGGCCAGGCTAAATTATTTTGGCAAAGGAGGCATATGAAGCATTTCCTCTAAGGAGAATTGGGCCACTGGGTTAGATCAGCATTTGATGGGCAAACAGCTGATTAGAGATTCTGCTCAAGAACTCATTAGTTGATTCAGTCAACTAAAGGCACCTACAATTTAGGCAGCTCATTGCTCAGGATCTCCTCACCCCCAAACACCTTAGAAATGATGTGGATGAAAGTTAACCACACCAAGATGGGTACAGAAGAGGGTAGCCAATATTTCAGCAAAGTGAGTTGATAATGTTTTTGGCATATCAGTAAAGTGATTAGAATTTAAAGGAAACAAATTCAGTGAAGACAACGCTGGAAGCACACAGGGCCTCATTCATTCAGAAAATACTTACTGAACATCTATTCTGTGTCAGGCTCTGTTCCAGACTCTAGCTTCATTTGAAGGAACTCACATTCTAACTAAATGTAAAAGTCTAAAGCTGAACTTCCACTTATGACCATGATGGACTAACTGGGAGCATATTACCTTCCCTCACTAAGCAACTAAGTCTTTGTCAAAATTGAGGTTAATTTTCAGACATTGGAAATCAATCTGTAGAACAGAGATATCTGGGGCAAAAAAGGGTGTGGGGTAGGGTGGAGTGAGTGCATGACCAAGATGAGCCTGGTGATGCCCCAACTTACTGTTTGATGAGTTTCCAGGTCACTGTTCAAGGAAGAGGACCAGCAGAATTTGATGATCTCCCTGATTCTCTGTACAGTTCAAAGTGCAGAGATACTATGGCAGATGAACTTTATGGGCCACAGAACTGGGGAGAAGAAAGTTTCAAGGAAAGAGAGCTGCACATCCATAGAGAGCTCCTGGAATCTTCAGCTGAGTAACAATCAGTACCAAGATTTGAAAAGAAGCCACTGGAAAGGAACAGGTAAAGCCATTAGGCAAAGTAGAAAGATTCCCTCATACATACAGAAGGGAATAGAGCCTTAGGGGGATACTATCTCAATAGTAGGGTCACATTAGACATAGAGGAAAAACTGTTCTTTCCCTCGAAAACTGTTTCCAAGTAATTTAACTGCATCCTACTGCAAAGCCCCAAAACACTTAAAGGATTACAAACATATCTAATACACCCAAAATGCTCAATTTAGAATGACTAATATTACATTTAAAATTATCAGGTATGTATCTAAGAAAACACAGATCCAAGATGAAGAGCAAATTAATTCAAACAGACTCAGGAATGACTTAGATGGAATTAGTAGACAAAGACAATAAAAGAGCTTTTATAAATATATACCGTATGTTTGAAGAGTGAGAAGAAAGCATGAATAAGACTAAGAGAAATAGAAGCAATCCAAATAGATTCAAGTCAAAGTTCTATAATTGAAAAGTGAACCGAATGTGATTTGCATTAGCAGATTAGACAGGCAAGAAGAACAGCTGAGTGAATCTGAAGACCACAGTGGAAACTCCTAAATGAAACGCAAAGACTAAAAGACTGAAAAGGAAAACTTATTTTCTCTTAGGCATTTCTCAAATGGGTCTCCTCTGCTTCTGTAGCCAGGCTCTTACTTCAAACATACCATTTCTCTTGCGATCTGTTACCCCTATCTTCTGGCTTCTGGTCCTGTTTCTTTCCATCAGGTCTAGACAACAAAAAGTAACATCTCTGAGACAGGATCCAATTCTATCCCTTTCACACGTACTGTTTTTTGATACTTCATAAGATGCTCTCAAATCCAACTCTGAGTGACATCTGCTTTCATGTCAGTGCCTCTGCTTTTACCACAAAGAAGGTAAAAGTGAACACTACTGAAGACACCTTGGCAATGATGTGGCAGTCGTACAGGATTCAACTGTGGGAATTTAAGTTCTTCACAAAGTACGGAAACCAGGCTTGTTTTGTGAAGGACTCGATTATAACAAAGCAGTGTTACAGCATATATGGCATCTGGGTACTTTTTAGAGCACGTGACCACAACTGACTTGCAAACCGGAGCCAGGCTCTGGATCAGACAAAGAAGATGCGCTGAAAGACTCTGCAGGAAACACTGAGAAATGTTACAATTTCAATGCACTAGAAAGACCGAGACATAGTCGCTGTTCTATCGAAGAACAATTTAAATGTGAAGTACATTTTTCACATTTGGGCACTAGCATTGCTGAAAATGACACTTTGCTCACTTTGAAAAACACTGAACTTAACTTCAATTAAATTATTAGCTGATACGAGTACCTGACCTTGACAATATATGAACTAATGGCTACATATATTTATTTTTTAAATATGTATTTCTAAACATTACCAATGAGGACGATATTCATAATATATCTGATGTGACTAGCTCTCAAGTCACAGGAAATTTCAACTTAGTATTACTTTCTGCTAGAAATTTCTTTAACAACTCTGATACAAATGTAAATAATTTTCATGCTAAAATATACACAAAATTGGAAAATTCACTTAGGTTCACTTTTTCTGGACTGTTTTTGATCATCAAGCAGACATAACTTCAATCCAAATTTCCATTATATCCTTGCAATATTTGTATTTGTAGTACCCACTGCACTTTATTCAGACTATTCTACTGTCCTGCTCAGGGTCCTTTATTTTGGAAATAAGACATACTGTGAGGTTATAAATGTTTTATTTTTATCATCGGGGAAGCTTGGTGGTGAACATATGGCCATTTGATTCTTTTATGACTAAGAGTTCAGCTGAGGCTCTCTTATAGAATGTAACTGTATACCAACAAATGTTTATGTGAACCTTATCAAAATTAAGCCTAGTCACTAAAAGAAGATTCACTTTCTGAACTTTCTTCTGTATTTTTTTCACCTTCACCATCTGGCACTGGAGCATCTGGCCTCCTGGAAATGAAGAAAAAAAAAAAAAACTTTTAAGGCTTTTCCAGTTGAAAAAAAAGCACCAACTAACTGTAAGTCGGGTTCATCCTAGAATATTGCTGCTAGTAAATCTGCCAAGCCTGCCTCCTCAACTGAGAGTCTGCAGGGCTCCACCACAGCGTGCTTCTCTGGCTTCTCCAGCACCAGGGGGATTAAGTGCTATTCCTGTGGAGGCCACGGCCCTGTTTTCTCTTGCCAGTCCTCACAGAGAGTGCTACTTCAGCATTTTCTGCTTCTCATTACCATGGAGACCCAACTATAGACAGAGATGCGATTTGGAGAGGTTGGCATGACCAGTGCTAAATCCTTGCAGCTTCCAAGTGTACATGAGGTACAGAAAAGGGAAAACCAGCAGTGGAAAGAAAGGAAAATCTTTCTGTTCAGGAAAACTGCAGAATTTTATAAATGGAAGAGTGTTCAAGAATGGATATTAAGAAATATAGACAACATGGAAACTTTGTGAGGGAGGAGAGACTTAAGAAATTTTTTATTTGCTGAGAGTTTTCATTTATGTGTTTGTCTTTAGAAAATGAATAAAAAAGGCATGAATTGGTAAACACAGTGCCTCGAAGATTTCCTAAATCTGAGACCGGTTATTAAACTCCAACTCTGCATGGATATGCTACCGTAAACCAAAATGAAATTTTAGCAGTGAGGTTAAAACCACCAACTAGATAAGCTCAATAGTGTTTGTGAGCAAATCATTTAATCAATATGGTAGCAGTGTGACTCTACCTCTACTCTAATCATGAAAGTAAATTAAGCCAGTCAAGTATCCTTTTGGGAAAACTACAAAGGAAGGACGAATATAGCTGCTATGTCTAACTAGTTAAGAAATACCAGACTTATTTCTCCCTCAGACAACTTGATTCTTATCTAAAGATTTAGAACACCCACAATAAAAATCTCCTTTGCCACAAATACAATTACTAAAATAGGAAACTATATAGTGTACTCTTTACTTTTAGTTATTAAAAATTATGACTTGAATTTTGGCTTATGTTCTTTAATATCATATCTGGCATGCTACAGGACAGAAAGAAATGCAGGCATTCTCCCTAGCTGTCCAATGTAAACCCACTATTTTAGGTTATGCCTGAGGAAGTCACATGTAGTTCCAACAGTAAAGCCTGACAGCTAATTACAACATTTCTAAGTTTTGACTGATGCTCCATCTGCTTAAAACACTAACATGGGACCATACTCTTCATTGCTTTTCATGAAGCAAGAAGCCCAGAAGCACAGGACCTGAATATTAGGCACATTTTCCCCAGTAAATTTATCTAGGTGGTATCACTGATTTCTTGCGGTCTTTACCATGTTAAAAAGGAAAAAAAAAAAAAAAACCCAGAGGGAATTATTTGAATGCCACATCGAAATTATATTAGTATCTATGGCAACTCAAACAAATAAAACAATATACACAGCTTCCTTAAAATGTTACTCAGGGGTAAATGCAGCTGATATCTGGAAGGTAATGAAACTCTAGAATTAATGTGTATAACCCAGTCTATTTGGGTTCAAATGGGAAGATATTTAACCTCTCTATACCCAGTGACTGTCTGGACTGTTGCAATGATTAAAGTGAATTACTAAGTGTAAAGTACATTGGTTAACACCTGGCACAAAGTAAGCATACTAAAAATTTTACTTGTTGCTGTCATTATCATCATCATCATCATGTGTTAATATTTGTCAGAAACTATACTAGGTGTTAGAGATTCAGAGATGGTTAGCAAATAGTGCCTGCTCTGAAGAAGGTAATATTTTAGTGGTGGACATAGAAATGCAAGTAAAGTGTTATATGGGACAATATATAGAAAGTATAGTTATACTAACCATGCTTGTGTGAAAAGTAGTTCACTCTATTAGGGTTAGTGAGAGAAGACTCCAGAGATGGAGATTCTGGGGAAGGGTATTGGGGTATGAATTGGTGTTTGCCAGAAACAGAAAAGGTATGAATAAGGGGAAATAAGATTGTTTTAAGTTAAGAGAATAAGTGGGTATAGTACAGCATTTGAAAACTAACTCACTTGGTAGCTATGGAATACAGTCTATTGAGGTGAAACAGTAATGAGATCACCCTGTTGGTTAGGAGCAACAGGTGATGGTAGGGAGAGGTTATAAGAAATGTCAAGTTTTCTCTGAAATTGTTCAACTAAACTTAGAGTTCTTAAGTATTCATTCATTTATTTTTAAGATTTTTATTTATTTGTGCATACAGAACTGGGGTACAGGCCAGAGGCTCAGGGGCGGTGAGAGGCTTCACCAGAGACAGAGTGGGGAGCAGAACAGGCAGATCGACAAAGTACACTGCTGAGGGGAGCAGTGGGCGGGTCAGGAGAGGTCTGCCGCGCCATGTGGTCACCTCCGGGGCAGGCGGGAATCGAACTCATGTGGAAGCGGCTTTAGATTCTCAGTGCTGTGCTTTAACCCACTGTGCCACCAGGGAGGGCCTCATTTATTTTTTAATTGACATCTAATTCACATGTAAAACTCACCATTTTAAAGTATATAAATTAGTGGTTTTTACTATATTTATCATGGACAAACATTACCACTATCTAACTACAGAATTTTCATGACCCACAAAAGAAAGTCAGTAACAGATATTCTCCATTTGCTTTTTCTGTAGCCTCTGGCCATGACTAATCTAATTTTCTGTGTCTATGATTTGTGAATTGAGGACCTTTCATCAAAATACAGCTGTAGATATTCAGCTTTTGTGTCTGGCTTCTTTTACTGAACACAATGTTTTCAAGGTTCATTCATTTTGTAGAATTTATCAGTACTTTTTATACTGTTTCATGGTAAAGATATATCAGTTTTTGCTTCTCCATCCATCAGTTGATAAAAATTTAGGTTGTTTCTACTTTTCTTGATTATTATGAACAATGCTACTAAGAACATCTGTGTTCAAGTGATTGTACATCTGTGTTCAAGTGATTGAACATATGTTTTCAATTTTCTTGAGCACATAGGGAATTGCTAGGTCATATGGTAATTCTATGCTTAATTCTTTGAAGAGTTACCATCCTGCCTTCATAACTAGACACCATTTTAACACTCATATGAACAATGTATGAGCATTCCATTTCCACATATCCTCACCAACACTTGTCATTATTGGTCTTTAATCTTTTTTTTTTGGTGGTAAAATACAAAAAATGTAAAATTTACCACCCAGACATTTTTAAGCATACAATTCAAGAGTGCTACGTACATTCACACTGTGATACCATAATAACCATCCATCTCCAGAACTCATTTTCAAAAATGAAACTCTGCACCCATTAAACAATAGCTCCTCATTCCACCGTTCCTCCATCTCCTTACAACTACTTAACATACCTTACTCGGTAAACTAGAAATAAGAACTGTAAAGTCTTTTAGTATTTTAAATATGTATGTGAATCACTAATAAGTATCAAAATGTACAAAGTCAAAAGTATATTCAGGCTGTATCATGGATATGCATTAAAAATCTCAATCTTAATGGTTACAAAAAAAGCACTAACTTAGTAACTATAATCTTAGACAAAGTATCAATAATATTTTTCCTTTAATGATTATATTTATTCATACAGAACTGGGGTGCAAGCCAGAGGTGCAGGGGCAGTAAGAGGATTCACGAGAGACAGAGTGGGGAGCAGAACAGGCAGATCAATGAAATACACTGCTGAGGGGAGCAGTGGGCAGGTTAGGAGAGGTCTGCTGCGCCATGTGGGTCACCTCTGGGGGATCGAACTCACAATGAAGTGGCTGCAGCTCACTTGCAGTGCTGTTGCATCCTAACCCACTGTGCCACCAGTAATATTTTTAATAAAAAAACCAATTTTTAGAAAAGTTTAAACTTATTTTGCTAAGTCTAAGTCCTCTTAAGAAGTAGTTGTTTCAAAGAATTTACTGGGTTAAGCTCAACTAAGACAGTCAAAACCTAGGAGAAGGACAAGCGGGTACATATCATACTTTTTACCGTACCAGATGCTGAACATATTTTTGAAACCCATCTTTCTCCCATTTATGTGAATTAAATGTGGTTGTCAACCACATCTCGGCTGTCCTCATCCTTTCTATGTGCCTTTTTGTGTTTCAGCCACATGACCTAAATCTGACCATTCACCGGAATCTTCCCTTGTGGAGAGAGGTCAGTTCAAGGGTGGGGTGAGAATTTAGGCAGGGCCAATGATAAGATATGAAGTATAGGTTATGGAGACATGAAGTATAGGTTATGGAGAAGAAGGGACTCTTTACACTCAATTGGCAAAACTGAGAAGCCTCCAATTACTTAGTTTCTAGGAGGAAGATCATCAGTAGGAAAAAAGTAAGTTTTATGCCACGGAGTAAAGGTGGAATGAGGTGAGGGGAAAGGATTCCTATCCAGCAAGCTAGCCAGCACTCATGGCACTCTGCCTCTGATTTTGATTCTCACCTATGCGTGTGAATTACTTTTCTTTTGCTTAAGTTAGTTTGATTTGGTTTCTGCAGTCCTAAACATGAAAGGAGTCCTAAAATACAAATATCATTGGCTTAATTTGTTTTCATTAAAGAGAGATTAATATTTGTGTTTAAAACCACAATCACTTTTAGGACACAAAACCATACAAACATTCTCTGGAAAAACGTTTATTTATATAGATAACCAATTAAAAAACATTTTTCAGTTTCTTTAAACTTAAAACCTCTTAATTTAAAGTAGGATTAAGTGCCAAGAACATTGTTAGTAAACATAGTGCTATGTAGAAGGTTGTGGAGAGAGTATGGTAGTTATCATGCAAATCATAATAGCTAGTAAGAATATTTCAGCATTACATGCACTACAACTACATACACTTTGGTCTTTCTTCTATGAATGTCCATCAAGACAGGCAGAGCCTGTCCTTTGTTGGTAAGTAGATTCCTGCAACAGGCATACAATTTAATGCTTACTGTCAGACAGACCAAGAGGCAGCTGTCACAGGTAA